AAGAAAAAACTGAAGTGACGAACCAACTCACAGTCCATCTACTAAGTGGCCATTGCAGTCGATGAACACCTACAGCCAGCATCAAACAAAGACCGCTACATCTATCCTTAATTAAGAATCAGAACGCAAATAAGTCATCACCACTGAAGACTAAGTTATAAGAAATTAGTTGTTTAAATAATTACAAATAGCTGCAAGTTAAAAAGTCCGTACGTGGTAGAGCCACGCTACATCTATATAATGGCTGCAGGAACTATGAGTCGGCCATACCGAGGAAGAACCATGCTAGCACAGAATACCAACGTGAAATAACATCACAATGCTTCGACACTATACGTATATAATTTAGTTTATTTTTTTATAATAGAACATGGATACCAAAAAATAAAACTAAATTACAGATAAATGTCACTGACAATAATTGTACTCCAGATCTAGGCTCAAGTGCATTGCCTTTTTAGTAAAATAATAAATGTTTTTTAACTAAAACTAAAGTGAATAACTTCGTCAAATTAGTTAAATTTCTGGTAATGATTTCCCATATAATTTCGCAAACATTATACATTGAATAAAATTTTTACGGATTTTATTGCATAATGTCAGTTGTTTTTTAATCCATTTTTACCATACGTCAAGTGTAATATTCAGCTATAAGGCGCTGAAACTGTGGCTGAACTCTACAATTCATTACAGCCCTTCACAAGTCCACTGCTGAACATAGACCTCCCCCAAAGAATGCCACAAAGCACGGTCCTGAGCCACCTGCATCCATCGACTTCCTGCATGTCTTACCAGGTCGTCACTCCATCTCGTGGGGGGACGCCCTACACTTCGCCTACCGGTACGAGGCTGCCACTCGAGAACCTTTCTTCCCCATCGGTTGTCGGTTCTTCGAGCTATATGGCCGGCCCATTGCCACTTACTTCAGCTTACTAATCCGTTGGGCTATGTCGGTCACTCTGGTTCTACTGCGGATACCCTCATTTCTAAGTTTATCACGCAGAGAAACTCCGAGCAGCAAAAAGGGTCTCTGGTTCTTCACACTCACCATACGAAACACAGCAGCATTAAGCTGCTAATTTAGCCTGGTGTTCTGTGAGAGCTTGGTACTACCCTGGTGGAGCCGACCTATTCGTGGCATAATTTAGCTACATCGTAGCGCTACCACTTATATTTCCAAGTTTATCTAGATAGGTTTCATCCCTGAGATAATTATAATCTTTATCTAACGTCGGGCAAAGTTCGGTTGCCCAGCTACTGTATAATTACGTAAACAGGAGTCACATAACGCCCGTTTAGATTCGTAAACAGTAAAGCTGCCTGTTGATTCTAAGATTTCATGTTCAGGTTTCAAATTCCAACTGAAAAGTATAAACAAATTATTACTAACGAATTTCGCCGCCCGAGTCCGACCGGAATTTTTTTCTAATACAAAATGTATTTATATTGTACGAGCATAGGAAACTTGAACATAGTGAGTGAATATTCAAAAATATGGTCCTCAAGATTAACTAGCTATTTTCAAAACACTTTGGAAAGAACTTATTTGCCTGTCAACTTATCAGTAAATTATGGGTGCAAACAGTTTTAGCTTATCTTCTAATTTATTATTTTGAAGGACGTACGATCCTTGGAACTAATCAATGGTTTAAAAATGAACTTATCTGCCCTGTCAACTTATTGGTAATTTATGGGTACGAACTACTTTAGTTTCTTTTCTTATATAGCATATATAAACAATAACAATTGACCGTGGTCAAATAAAATATGCTATGTGCATGTTTGTCACATAGCAGGTATTAATTGACAATATTCTAGCTAGCATCGACAAGTATCGTTTGTTACTAGGTAAAATTAATTAGAAAAAAAACAAATTAGAGTAAATCTGTAGATAACCGAAATCGAGCGAATCTGTAGGCATCCTTACATTTCATGATTACTTTTGACTTAATTGTGAAGATTGATGCGATTGACGCGCGAGATTTGCCTGTGTTATTACGAGTATTAGTTCGTGTACATTTATTTTGAAATCAGAAATGCGTAATATCTTTTTGTATTCGTCACACTGTACACAGTCCTACAAATGTATTCATTACGACATTTGGTTGAGGTTTACCGTTACCGTTCAGTATCATAAGTCCACTGCTTAACATAGGTCACCCCCATATATTGCTTCATAGGGGGGATATTAGCCATGGTTGCCACGCTTGGCAGACTGGTTAGTAACCGCAGTTGTTTTTTTTTTAATTTTTAGTTGTGATTAGAAAGACGCTGCTGCCCATTTCCTGGTTTGTTCTTTTTTTGTTTTTTTTTTTTATATATACTATTTGATCATCGAGTAATGTTATTAAAAATCATATATTGGACATTACAGAAAGAAAACTTATTAAATCGTGTATCAAAGTGATCCTTAATGTTATTTTATGAATAATTTAAGATTTTGTATAGAAGAACAATAAAACCTTTTTAAGTGGTATTATAAAGTAATTCTTAGAATTAAAAATATTTAACATAAATTAAAAAAATCTATTATAGAGTTAAAATAAAAGTATGTATGTACATGTTATACAATCTTTATACAATTAAACAACCCTATAAAACATAAAAAAGCAATCACAATACTGAATGAGATGAAAATCGAGCGGACCGAATACAATAACAATTCACTGGCACATGACAAACCAAATTAGGAATCGTCTGCGTTTTGAACACCGGTAAATGGAGGAACGATTGCCAATTTACCAACCCTACCTGGTCTTAATTGCTGCCGACTACTGCTTACACTATCGAGGGAAGGTAGCGAAAGTAATTTGTCATCGGTTAGCTAAGCAGGGGGTGGGGTGCACTCGCAGACCAAGAGCCGCCGCTACGGCAGCACGTCTCATCGTTAATGACATCCCGCATAATTAGCAAGCGCCACCATCAACTAATTACATAAATTGCCTACTAAACCTGGCAATGATTACACCGTCGCTTAGAATTACGTCGACCAGATTGTGCTGCCTTGATTTAAATAGATTTTTGCCGGTGTCGTGTGATAACCTCGTGACCTAATAGGCAGGATATCTTGCTGCTACTTTGTCACATCCTAGCTGCATTATGTAAAATAAAACCGGCCAAGTGAGAGTCGGACTCGCGCACCGAGCGTTCCGAACAAATCCGTAGGTATATAAGTATAAAATTATTAAAAATATTTTTATTATATGATGTAAATAAAAAATTTAAGCTTTTCGCAATTTTTCCTTTATCTGTGCTATAATACGTTGCTTCGTACCAAATTTTAAGATTCTGAGTTCACGGGAAGTACCCTGTACGTTTTGATTCCCTTGCGAATGTCGAAAATTTGCGGCATAAACGGCTGTATCTTTTGATTGCGTTGGCTTAGAAATTTCATTTTTTCACAGCTCCAAGGGACAGTAGACTTGAGTATTTGATATGAATTTCAGCTTGATACCTCCACGCGTTCCTGAGAAAAAGGATCTTGACATACAGACAGACAGACAGACAGACGGACAACAAAGTGATCCTATAATGGTTCCGTTTTTTCCTTTTGAGGTACGGAACCCTAGAACAGAATATTTTTAGTTTTCGTGTCTGGTTGTCTTGCGATTGTCCCAGTGGATCTGGACACCGGAACTTAACCTCTCCGATCTTTTCGCGTTGTCCTTACTTTAGACACACATGCGCAGCAATGTTGCCAACATTACCTAATCTGACTTAGTAATCTGATTAAAAAAAACTGTAGAAAGGCTTGAAAAAGCTGTAGAAAACTGAGATCTATTGACAAAAAAAAACTAAAGTGTACAGCTCTTTTTATAAAGCGGTATATATCATCAAACACAGATCTTTTAAGAACAGTACAAAGAACCATGGTACTTAGGTAAGCGCTCTCCGTAAACCCCTAAGTTTAACATTTACAGACTCACAGAATACCAGCGTAATTTAGCAGCTTAATACTGCTGTGTTTTGTAGGATACCTGTAGAGAAACGGAGACTCTTGTTACCAGAAATGAGACATTTCATCTTAGTCCTCAAGGAGACAACGCATCTGCATTTTGATTCTTAATTGAAGATAGATCTAGATATCTATAGGCCGCATCATCAGCTTACTATCAGATAGACCGTGTGCTCGTTTCTCACCCAAATTCTATTAAATAATATTAGAAATATTAAAAAAAAAATTGTTTCGATGACATGGAAAGCCCGCCAACACGCATTTGGGTAGCGCGGTGGATAAATTCTTACCCTTAAATTCTTTCTCTTAGAAATCACAGGAGGCTTAGGACGTGGACGTGGATTTGGGATTGGGACGTATATAGGCTGTAATTTACTAACTTTATAAAGAATTGTCTAGACAAAACAAATATATTGTGTGAGTATGACCTCAGTCAGTCAAGAAGTTCGACAGTCATACGTTCATATACAGACGCACCAACTATGAATTGGCTAGATGTTTCTTGTTTGTGAATTTGTCAAATATGTAATTCGTGCTTGTAAAACGTCCTCACGATACTGAGAATTTGTAAATACAAATAATTATTATAATTAAGAGATGCTGTTTGGCAAACCATGACTTTTTATTTAAGTTAAGATATGAAAATTATTCGAATGTACAATCAAATTTACTTAATGTTACTGTCATGTATACCCGACTATAGCAACGCCAAAAGGGAGGTAATGATTTTATTAAGCTATGTACGTATGTTTGCATGTATTTTCATCTGTTCCCTCAGATTTCCTGAACTTAATGATCGTATTTTGAAATATGAGTCATCATTGGTAGCGTTGTGCTTGTTCGCAGATTATAGGCTATAGGGATAGAGCGATAGAACTACACAGCAAACATTGCTTACAATAACTGAAGTAACGTGAAGTAAAAGTTAATCAAACGTTTACAAAATAGAAATCAAACACAACAGCTCATAACTTTATATTAAAGTGATTATTAGGATAATAATAAAAACAATATCGTTACCATAATCTGGTTTACCTTTCCACAGATCAACCCACAATCAGTCAATCCTCGGGTAACGTAGTCGACGGCATCAACTTAGAAGATATCAAGGAATTCGCAAAGGCCTTCAAACTAAGGCGGCTCGGTCTAGGCCTCACTCAGACACAAGTGGGCCAGGCTCTATCTGTCACTGAAGGTCCAGCGTATAGCCAAAGCGCTATTTGCAGGTAAGAATAGTATTAAATCATATATTTTTTTTTTGTAATAATGAAAATACAAAATAATATGCATATCTGTTAAATAATCTTGTGAGATAAAGTCGCACGCTTGTCTAAATAAGTTCATCTAGTAAGAAAACAACAAAACATACGTCTTCTTAATTTAACTCAAAAGATTTTATAATCTGTATTAATTATCTGTAAACAATGTAAAGGCAACACGTTAACAATTTAATCAACACATCACAGTAATAAAACGAGGGCAAATAGAGTCAGGCGCTTGTCAAAATAATTCGCGCCGTTCCCTTTGGGCTAGCAAAACATTTTTATATAGCGATATTAGTGACGACGTTCGTCACGCAGTCGCAAGAACAGTTACAACACCAACTTTTTAATATTGTTAATTGAAGTGATTTGTAAAACAGCATGACTCCTTTCATTGCTTACAATTCGTTTAATTAATTACAATTCGGACGGCTTCCGTTCCGGTCGGCTGTCTCGGGGCTTAAACCATTTTTTATTAGGCGCGGGCGCGTGCGTTCTAATTCGGTATTATTTATAATTTTTCCATCATACTCATTTCTATCTATCGCTGAATAAATTTACATGTTATTTGGTTATTAATTAACTCCATTATAGACTGAAACTCTAAAATCATTTGTTATTTAAGAAATGCCATCTTTTTATTTCTTATGATTGAACAAATAGCAACGCACCAGAAACTTAATTTGAACATCGCTAATTTACTTTCAGTATTATTCAACGTTACTCGCTTGTTGGTATTTACATTTATATTAACTTGTAAATTTGTTTCTTAGTAATTAAAATGTCAATTAAAGTAAGCCATATAAAAATGAAGTCTGTGTTTAAAAATTTAAGTTAGGAGAGTTAACATGGCCAATAAAATTTTATTTTGATTTGAAGCCTCGACAATGTACAATTTAGCAGTAAAAGAGTTTAATTAAATGTAATGAAAATGATTCGGAACGGCTTTTTTCACCATCATAACGTTAAAATAGGCACCGGGTCAAACCGGTCGAAGGAAATTTCAATCGGGCCACCCCACCGGCCTCCTTCGTATAATAAAATCATTAATCGTTACTTCTGTTCCAGTTAATTAATTATCTTGCCGTAATTACTTTTTTTCGTGTAATTTAAAGAGTAGAGTTCCCCTGTCTTTGTCCGCGTCGTGATTTCATTTTCCATTAATTTTTCTTTCGACTCCCTCCAATTTTGTATCGTAACGAAGCTACACGATGCCTACCCCTTTGATTACGTTGGTATTAACTTGAATTTAAATTGAAATGTATTATTTATTGTAGTCATGAATGTGTTTAGTTTTATGTTTAAAGGTCAACTATTGACAGTTTAATACACTGAGAAAGGAAGTTGACACGAGTAAACTTTTTTGGACTTCAATAAAATTGTATCTTGAATAACCCTTTCATTATGTCAGGGACGCAAACGCTCAAAGCTTTAAACTGCATTATATATTTAATTAAGTTAGTTAAATGTATATTTTCATATAAAATCTAAGCGGTGTGATGAAATCTTTTTTTTCTTTAGTAATCTTTTTTTAAAGGATAAGGGTGACAAACGTGCACACAGTCCACCTGATGGTAAGTGGTTGCTGCGGCCCATAGACATCTACATCTATCCTAGTTTGCGAATCAAAATACAGATGCGTTGTCACCCGTGAGGACTAAGATTACGAAATTCACGAATAAACATAATTACTGTCAATTTAACGGATTGTACTGTCTTTTTTTTTCAATCTTACACAAGGGTAAAAGTAAAAGAATCAGCCGAACGTCGTGCTTAAAATGTTCAAATGTAAAATGATCGATGCTTCCATGGTCATTGCCACTAACGAGACCGGGCACAAATGTTGAATTAGGCATGGATCAGCCCGCGTGCCGCGCTATTACAATTTTATATGAGACCGAGTGCGTCACCGCATCACAAGACAATGGCTGGAAATAGATGTTCGTATGCTAATATTTGTCTGTGTCTACGTACTTACGAAACAAAGTCAAAAGAAGTTTATCTTCACAATATACAATACTAGTAATACAGTCCGACTACGACCGAGAGGTCAATCGATGTATCCAACTCTGCTGTTCCGCGTTTGGGAATCATGCCACAACTTCTCGTCACGCATTCCTGAAAACTTGAAAACAAGAGTGTACAGTCAGTGTGTGTTGCCAGTGATGACTTGTGATTTTATGATGTGGTTCTTCACCGCTGATCGTATGAGGAAGCTCAAGGTCACTCTGCGAACTATAGAGAGGGTTATGCCTAAAGTTTCTCTGCGTGATAGACTTCGTAATGAGGATATCCGCAGTAGAACTAGAGTGACCGACAATGTCCAACGGATAAGTAAGCTGAGGCAGTGGACCGGCCATATAGCTCAAAAAATCGACAACCGATGGAGAAGAGTTTTTCTTGTGTGCCAGAAACGAACCGGTAAGCGACCGAAGCCAACCACCAGATGGAGTATCGACTATGCACGAAGATGATGGATGCAGGTAGCACAGGACCGTGTTCTGTGACATTCCTTGGGAATTGGGGAGGCCTTTGCAATGGACTTGGGAAGGGTTGTAATGATAGTGGTGATGAACTAGCAATGGATCGCGTGACAGTGGGGTAAGTGAATCCATCAATACTTCTCGTTTCGTGGGTGTCGTAAGAGGCAACTAAGCGAAATTCAAAAATATTTCATCCAGTAATTTTACTACATATAAGATAACAAACGTTGACGGTAAGCAGCGCCAGATAGAAATAGAAGGATGTCCAGCAGAGGACTATGTGCCGAATAAGGAGAAGGAAGAATCACTTTTAATGTTACATCATCATCAATTTGTGAGCAGTCCTCAAAATCCACAGCTTTGTAGGCGAATTGATAAACATAGTAGCAAATGTTTTCGCCTACTCACACTGCCCTTCATCACTGATCCGAGTATTTTACTAATGACAGAATGAATGAAAAAACTAGTACTAATGTCTAATTTCAAATGATCAGGGCCGACCATTAATTACGTGAGCTCAAAGTCTCACCAAATCTAATTTAAAGGAAGGTTAATGAAAATCTCACGTCATCTTTTTAATTCTGAGATTATACATTATTATAACATAAAACCTGAAAATGTGAAATAAATTTATTTATTTGAAAATTATGTGATAAATGTCACGTGCGGGAGAGTTTGAGTCCCACCACATCTTTCTAAATCTCACCAAAGGGGAGTTTTTTTTATATAGAATGAGGGTGACAAACGAGCACACAGTCCACCTGATGGTAAGTGGTTGCTGTGGCCCATAAACATCTACAGCTATATTCGTTTGCGAATTAAAATGCAGATGCGTTGTCAGCCGTGAGGACTAAGATAGAATGCCTCTTTGCCAGTAAATAGGGTCACCGGTTCTATACACTCACCATACGAAACAAAGCAGCTTTAAGCTGCTATTATACGCTAGTATTCTCTGATTAAAAAATAATTTTAAAAATAGCCTCACGTCATTAATGGAGTGTCCATTATGCTTATCAGACCTATTTAATCTTCCGTTTGCAATATTAATTAAATTAACGACGTTCTGAATCTTATGAGGACAAAACTTACATTGTTATGAAGCGTGCGGCTTTGTCAATTTTTGTTTTTACTGAAGCTTGACAGTCCTCTAGAAACCGGAGGACGTCCACTGTTCACTGGATTATACAAATCTAATGATATAATTTGTTACCGTCCCCAGTGCCCTGGCTTCGCAGATGCTAGCAGCTCAGCTGTCTTCACAGCAACAAAACATGTATGTGTTTTGTTTTATTTCCGTACACGCAGTATCTTCAAAATTATCTTCATTAAATTCACTTTATCAAATATTTGTTTCGATTGACATTTAAAACGTACGTATCGTTAAAATATGCCAAGAATGGAGATAACTTTGGAGATACTCGACTGCAACATGCATTAAGCACACGCTTTGAGTCACATACGGCGGCCCAGATCGCATTTATATACGTTGTCTTTAAATCAAAATGTTTCAACGGTGTTTAATGCAATCTTATCTCGATCGCCGATCCGTGCATACCAAGGGAATGTATGCCGCATATAATTATGAGTAATTATAGTTTTTGGCGTTCTTTCCTTCGCTTTTCACACGTATACGGTATTTACATATGGGTAATTATACTAAGACGGTGTACATAAGTTCGAACGTTACATTTTGATGTTAAGACATACGTGTTACATTTACGCACCGGCCACCACACCATGTTGGTGCGACGTCATGAGTAATCGTTGTGTGAATTTTATCTGATTTGTTATTGTTATGTCTCTAAGTCACTTCTAACTTTCCATCTAATCTAGCATGATGTATTATTTCATTACTCTTTATTTATTTTTTTATTATTCGTTTTGCGCAATTGAAAGCCAGGGCATTGGCATACGTTACCTTTCGCCTCTAACTGAATTCATTTTATTGTTGCCGCGTTCGGTATTAATCAAACTGATTACTCCGCCGGTCTAAATTGCCTATTGTTTTTTTTTCTTCATTGCCATTATCGTTAACGCCATGTCAATGTCCTGTACTACGGCTCCGTTAATTAGTATGGGGATGAGATAACACAAATCGTCCCTTGTAAATTTTCGGTACGCGCTCGTGGCTCGCTTATGTCCAATCGGCTCGTGCAAAGTAAAATTCTAACATTACATTTATTATGTTCGATACAGATTTGAGAAATTGGATATAACACCAAAAAGTGCGCAGAAAATCAAACCGGTGCTTGAACGTTGGATGAAGGAAGCCGAAGAGAGGTAAATATCCTTGTTTGAGTGAACTTGTGCGTGGTACTGTTCCGTGTCCGTGTCACATATTTGGCCCTTGTTGCTTAGCGACGATGTAAACATTTCTCAAATCTGGACTAACTGCGCTTTTGTCAGCTAGGTTTTTTTTCCACGTGCTCTAATGCTATATACACCTTACTAATTAATTGGTTTTGTACGATATTTGCAGTCCGTAGTATTTGTGTATATTTTTAATGTCTTTTTTCCTATGTTACGACAGTGATGCTACAAACTTTTAATTAAATATTTTTACTTAACTATAAGGCATGACTTGTAACACCAGTTATTGCATGAAAATTATTTTAATATTTTGAATTATATCTTATAATTTACTAACAAGGAATTTGTATCATTAAAGTAACCTAATTCTTTATTGATACAATAATTTTAAGTAAGAATATGATTTTAAAAAAAATATTAGAAAACTTTATAATTACTTTAATAATCGTGATAAAAGTGAGTTGCGTTACTAATCACCTAACTATTTGAAACAAAATATAACAATAGGTTTTGCTAAACGTTTACCGTTTATTGGCGGTGTAAGAACATCATCCCCATATCGTCCCGTTGGTGTCGTAAGAAAGAAGCGACAGAGGAAAATTGAAACAGGAGATGAACAGCAGCACCTTCTTGATAACAATTGAAAATAATAAAAAACTGCGGTTGCCAACACGCATGCCAAGCGTGGCAACTATGGCAACTATGGCAAAATCCTCCCTATGAGGCAATGTATAGGGGAGGCCTATTTCAGCAGTGAGCTTTTATAGGCTGTAACGGATAATGGTAATGGAAATTTTACACTTAGCTAAAATTACACTTAAATCAAAGTGTAAAATGTACCTAAAATTACCAACTTCAACAGTATTGACTCGGAAACTCACCTCACCAAAGAACTTTATGATAGCGTATCTAAGCCATTTTATCAGTCACATGCAAACCGAACGATCGCTATGATAGCCATGTTTGTGTTTTTCTGCAAACTCAATCTAATCTACGCAACTACCGATTCTTCATTATTGCTGCTGTGGTGTGATAGTACTTGGTAGTTTCCATGCAGTGTAATATCGGTTGGTTAACTGGTATTTAAAAACATTGATTTATATAAAAAGAAGACGCGGCTTTATGCCTAATATGGTAGATGGTATTGGCACAGGCTCGCTCACATTTCTGAGAGGGTTTGGAGATATGAGGCGCGGTTAGTCCGTCTGCACCGTACGTCCTTCAAATATATACATATTTCATTTCTTCGACATGCGAGTTTCCTCACTATGTTTTTCTTCATCGTCGAAAATGAGCGAATCAAAACTTAAAATTGTAAATAACAATTTCATATATATGTTCGCGGTTTAATTAAATTTACAGGGAGAGCTTAGCCCTTTAGCTACCGCGACTATATATCTTAAGATTTAGATCTTATAAAGTTTTCTATTCCAGTTGCTAACAATACAAATTTTGGAGTATATATTATTGTATTTATTTATAAAAAAAACATCTTTAATGAAAACGATCAGAACGCAAGGAAAACAAACGGCCGTTAACCCGACACCGCATGAAATCTTCATTTCAAATATCCCAGGTGTCGTTTAAATCTCCGACGGTCTCTTAATATTGTGTGGTTCGCTATGATCTATCGATTTAACATTTTGCATCATTAAAATGCATTATCTGGATGCAACGGAACGGTCTTTAACATTGCAAATGGTGCGTTGAATTTGCAATGCCCAGTCCCTCTTGGTGGTAATTTTTAACGACCGTCTCTGTTAATAGTCCTTGAATTAATACCGATAGCTGGTGCCTACTCTCATCTTTATGAACGGGATAACCAGAAAATCAGCTTTTTTAATTCCGTTTAGAGGTTTAAATTCGTAGAGTAGTGTTGACTAAATGCGTTTCTATCGTGTTTTTATTTGCTGCGGAACGAATTAAATTCTTATTCGACAAAATTTTATTTGACAGAATTTGAACTAAATAATTTAATTTTAAGGAATGATTACGTAGGAATAGTGTCAATAGAGTTTGTTTATTTATTCGTACTATTTTAGTGTGTTTTTACGTAGGTAAATATTTTCTTAATTATTTTAATTTCAGCATAATACTTACTATAACCTATATAACCATTTAGACTGCTCAGCGGAGACTGCATTGCCCAAAAACTGTATCACGAATGAGAGCTGTAGTCAGCATTGGGGCGTAGGTTATAAGTTATAAACAGTGAACTTTATACAAGCATCTCGCAATACACGCATACAACCGCGAGGTTCATCTACAGTAGCACACAGAAAAAAATAACGCGATGCCTGCGTTGGCAATACTAAATATCGCGTCATTTTCTCTGTTGAAAATGCTTTTTAAAAAAATGAACTTGAGGAATAGAACCCCGTTTATTAGATTATAATAGTTACAATAATATTAAGGAATATGTAGGATGACTGAACGCGACGAAAGTTAGGTGTCGACTGACTGTTGTCCCGATGCTAGGCTTCTAATATCTTCACAAACATGGATCAGAAAACTGTGTCAGCATTCTAGGTTTTAAAATTTAATAGTTTAATACTGAGCAATGTTTCTAGGGTGGTCTACAATACTATATACTAGGTATAACAGTGCGTTGCGAGACGCCTGTATGAAACTTCAGCAGTTTCGTTCACTCTAAACTTTACTAAGTTGCTTATTATGCGCGCGATTCGTCTTAGAATTTATAACGGTTGGATTTCATGGGTTTTGATTTTTTTGGCGGAACCCTAATTGTTTTTCTAAATTAAAAGTATTTTTTTATAGGATAAGGGTGACAAACGAGCACACAGTCCACCTGATGGTAAGTGGTTGCTGTGGCCCATAGACATCTACATCTATCTTCGATTAAGAATCAAAATGCAGATGCGTTGTCACCCGTGAGGGCTACGAGTAAGATTAAATGCATCGTTCCCAGTAAAAAGGGTCTCCGGTTCTCTACACTCACCATACGAAACACAGCAGCGTTAAGCTGCTGTTTTATACTGGGTTTCTGTGAGTATCCTAAGTTACTGCTTATAACTTCAGCTATCTATCTAAAGGCCGGCAACGCATCTGCAATTCCCTCCCTGGTGTTGCAGTTGTTCATGGGCGGCGGTAGTCACTTACCATCAGGTGAGCCGCAAGCTCGTTTGCCCCCTCTCCTATAAAAAAAATATCTGACAGACAGACAGACAAAAATTTTAATAATTGTTTTATTGTTATAATTAATGTTTAATTTCATACGCATTTAGTAAAAAGCTGTTATTTTGACATTACAAACATTCACTCCAATTTTATTTATTTGTATAGATATGTTATAATGCTTTTGTTGCCACCTATCAACAGTTATTTTTTTTCTTCTAAATCATCCTGTAAAATTCCTCTCCCTATCCTTCTTCTTCTCCTCTTCCTTAATCCCCACGCTTGCCAGGTGCATTGACGATTACAGTAGAAGTCTCGGTGTTTTTCGCCTGGCGTTAACGAGATGTTTATAGCGCCATGTATCTACTCAATGTTTTCTTTAACATTACCGCCACACTAGGATTTTCTCCTGTGTCGTGAGCGCAGTTTACATACATAAATTTCAGAAGGACAGGCATCCAGACCCGGAACAATTATTTGTAGGCCATACAAATAGGTACCTGTTCCGTGCGGGATTTGAACCCGCGGCCCTTAGCGTTGCAAATTATTGCTAAGCGACTGCGCCACGGAGATATTAAGCTTCGCTGCAGCTGTGTAATGGTCACAGTAAAAGTAGGTAGACTAGAGGGAAAGTGTCAGGTTCTCACAGAATACGAGCGTAAATTAACAGCTTAATGCTGCTGTGTTTCGTATGGTGAGTGTAGAGAACCGGAGACCCTTTTTACTGGAAAGGAGTCATTCCATGTTAGTCCTCAAGGTAGACAACGCATCTATATTTTGATTCTTAATCGATCTATGATATGATACACAGCATTCTCTTACCATCAGGTAGACTGTGTGCTCATTTGTCACTCATATTCTATAAGAAAGGCAATATTACTGGTATGTTAGCAATGATATCGTGTTGCTGACACTGCCTTTGAGCATGTTCCAAATCAAATAGCAGTTACGTGTAGGTTATGTTAAACGAGTGCGTCTATGTGAACTTCCCATAGTATAATTAGAAAATATTATTATTAATTGCGATAAAAACTTGGCGACAACATAAAGGTACATCTTGGGACTCGGTGTGAATTTGAACATAATCCCGAATTATTGGATTTCCTTCTGAATATCTTCGAGTTTATATCACTGATTCAACCAGGAGAATATATTTATTGTAGCACTAAAACACAAATAAACATAATTCAATATTTGATATAAGACAGTCTTCAGACCTATATCAGTATAGGCGCTGAACGCTCATCCATAAAATAAAGATTCATTTATGTAAGAGCATTTAAATTGCTGGAATTATGAAACCAGAGCAAGGTTCATTATTTCCATTTGACGTTCACATTGTAATTGTTTTGGTTTTCAATATAAACTTGACATTTGGACTGCTTTTTGCGTTGTCCATATAATTTTACTTGTAAGCTTCGTCTGTGTGCTTGTTGAAAATCAAATTTCAATGTCTGGAAACTTCTTTGATTAAACAGAATAAGTTAATCTTTACAATGTGTGCAAATTTTGATTTTCAACATCATATGGGTTTGAGTTAATTTAAAATAGACAAACTTGCAATAGTATAATTTTTATACAATCAAGGGTGACAACAAATACAAAGTTCTACGAATGCTAAGTGAAAGCTGTGATCTATAGGCACCTTTTCTGTCATCGATTAAAAAGTAACATGCAGATGCGTTGTCACCCTTTAGGACTAAGGTATTCGTAGAACGTCTTATTGCCGGTAAAAAGAGTTTCCAGTTGTAAACATTCACCATATATAACAGCAGCATTTTGCCCACATTCTGTGAGAGTGTGGTCCTTCTCTGATCGAGCCATAATATTCGTGC